GTCTATTTACTTGTGACCACTCAGTGTATCTTGTGCATAACATAATGATTTTTTAGGTAGATTTTAACAAATGCTTTAACCATAGGAAAAGCATTAAATTAAGTAAAATTACTTTAATGAATTACTGTTAAGATAATTTTGTTTTCAATTTAGTTTGTATATTAAACTTATCTTTTTAAAAATGCAATTAAAAAAACTGCATTACAAACTTTAGAAATCTGTTAAAATATTGTAAGGTGAAACAACAAGAAAATAATAATACAAACCACATGCCTATCAACGAATTTTTATTGATAATGCAACTAATCAAACATCTTACTATAGCTATTATAACACTATTAACAGTAACGTTAAACATCAAGGGGATACTAAAAGTTGAAAACATTACACTGGTTGCATTTAGTTAGTAAGAAAATAGTGATCACTCGAGAGTCGTATCTACGTACTTCTTTGATATGAAGGAAATCTTTAACTCCAAAAGATATGGCACAGCCATGCACAGGGCTATCATCGTCCAGTGTTCCATCATAAGCAACATTGGTTCGGACAGCAAAGGTTACTGGTTTCGTCTGCAGGGAAAGGACAAAAATATCATTGTTTTCACATTTTAGTCACGATTTGATGTTTTCATTAGCCAGTATTTAATATTTCTCTAAAATATGAAATAAAACGAGTTTTGAAAACATGAAAAAATATTCAATTTCAAATAATATTATTTAATTCAAAAATTTAGGCCTAGTTCAAGATGTGTATGAAAAATTATAATCACTAAACCAGCATAAAAATTTAAAACATTCATACTCAAACAGTTAAAGTAAATATGATTTATAAAGAGTTTATATATAAATTATAAACTTTATATCAATTTCATTTTTAAAGTAATTCGATAAATGTGTTTACAATAATTAAGTAATATGAAATATGGTTCGGCTTCATGTCCATATTACAAAATCGTAACTTTTGCATCGATAAAACTGGTTACAGTTCGCGATATATTAATTAATTATACAGAAAAAAAAATTACCCTAGCCTTTTCAAGCTTTGTAAGCGCTTGCCTCTCTGTCTCCCGACGGAGCGCTTCTCTTTCCTCGTCTAGAGACAGGTCTGAAGATGGTTGGCTATAATTGGAATCTGCAGATCCCTAGTAGAAGATAACAAGTGTGACATACGTTAGTGTTTCCTATGCACGATATATTTAAACATTAAGATAACTCAGAACATAAATTAAAGATAACAATAATTTCAAAATATACAAGTAAGTTGTCTTATTATTTGTGAAAGACACTGGTTAACTATATCGCCAGCTCATTAGTGGGAAATTTCGTTATATTTTTAAACACATTTTCTTAAATTATGAAACATTATTATTTCCAAGGTGTTTTTTTTTAAAGTCAGCAACCAATTTGAAATATAGTTGATCTTTTTCGTAAGTAAAAAAAAAAGCTTTTATGCATCCACCGCACCGTTAAAAAATACTAAGATCATCATATAAATATCATAAAATGTTAATTCTTTCATTTTTATTTTATGTGCTCTTAAATATGATGAAATATCAATTTAATGCTTGAGATAAAATTATTTCTTACTTACTCTTTAACTAACCATCAGAATATTTTTTTCCTAAATCCATGATTTTGTTTGCTTGTGGTGGATTTAAAGTTCAACACGTCTTATTTATTGAAACGTTAAGATAATATAAATGGATAACTTTAAATGTTTTTAACCTTGGCGTTGTTGAAATATTTTATGAAATTCAACTTTTTAGCTAGTTGCATCATGTTATATTTGAAGCAAATTGGCGTCTTGCATAAATGACTGTTCCTGCGCTTAATTTCTGGTAAAATAAGGTACCGAATTTCTGCTGATGAGTAGGGAGACCTTCTGAGTTTTGGAACATAATATTAGGTCGTCAATAAACTAATGTCGCTTTTTTTAGATGTAAAAACCCGAACAACTTATATATCAAAACAAAACATTTATTAAATGAAATAGTCTCCATTCTTATCGATGATGCTTTTCCATCTTACAATCAGGTTGTTAATGTCCTGGTTAAAGAATTCACTTGACTTTGAAGCAAAAAACATGTCGATATCCTCTTTAACACCTTCCACATTTGCATATGTTTTCCCATTAAGATGGTGTTGCAGCGAACAAAAAAAGATGGTAATTTGGTGGTGCCACATCAGGAGAATATGGTGGGTGGGGGAGAACTTCCCAACCCAACTCCATAATCTTGTGTCGCGTCAAACGTGCCACATGTTGACGTGCATTGTCGTGGAGAAGGAGGACACCTTTCCGATTGACGAGTGAAGGGCGTTTCTGATGAAGGGCTTGATTTAA